TTTTTTGTGGTGGTGGTTTCATAGGATGTTCGAGATGACATTGGCGGTGCACAAGCATTGGGAATGCGTGGGTTTTTGGTGCAGACGGGAAAGTACCGACCTGGAGATGAGAGCCGTATCTCACCAAGCCCTGCTGTGGTGTGCTCTCATTTTCCTGAAGCTGTTGATATTCTCCTGAAGGAATGTGCCCAGTCAGGAGGGGACTTATAACAGTATGTTACTCTTTTTATCTTTGTTACAGATGATGATGGCTGAAATTACTGTGTCAGAGACACAGGAACTGTGATAGTCTCTCTGTCTTCTTTATGAAGATTCATTTTTCCTTGTTGTGTTGAAGAATATAATAGTTTAATCTTTGTTTAATTCATTTTTTTTTATTTTTACCAGTAAATATTAAAATAATTTTATCCATATTTTTCATTATTCAACAAACATCATTTTAGATAACAATTTTAATAACTCAGTCACATAAATACTGTGACATAAATTTTCTTATCTGCAATGAAATGCATCCCTAAAAGTTGCAGAACATTAAAATTTTTATTACCTCTTTCTTCATTGTGGTAAACTTCTTGAGAAAATGGCCTTCAAAGGAAAAGTGAATCAACCTTGACTTTATGGCAAGAATATAAAATTTGACTGATTTGTCTTGTAGGATACAGTAGTAGTACATGCTCCCAGACATAGTGGCTAAAACAGTGCAAGTGAAAAGTTTCAAGCTCCAGTCCAGGAAGAATTTTAGTTCAGGTTTTCATATTTCTGTTTGATGTTTGTCAGACTGAAGGATCAAGTTAACATTTCAAAACCCAGCAGTTACTGTATGTACACCCATTTTAACATTTAAGTAACTCTTTCATTTTGCCCATGGTCTACATGTGTTGCGTATGATTCCCATAAACAAGGATTATTTCTCTAAACAGCCTTAAATGGTAATTCTTTGTAATAGGTAGATATTATGTTTTCTTTGGTAGGAAGTTTATTTTGAGATGTATAGATCTGGTATCAAAGTTGGTTGAGGCAGTATGCTACAAGCAGGAAGGTCGCAGGTCAATTCCTGATGAGGTCATTGGATTTTTTCTATTTACCTAATCCTCCCTGCCACACTATGGCCCTGAGGTCAACTCAGCCTTTAACAAAAATGAGCACCAGGAAGATTTATGAGGATGAAGGATGGCTGGCACATAAGACTGATAACCTTACTGCCATCTATGAGCCAGTTGTCTAAAATATATGGGAGCCTCGACGTCCCACAGCCCTATGGGCCTTTACGGCCTGTTACAAGGTTAGCTTCACCTTTTTAATGGATGTATTAAGTGGCCAGACCATTAGACTCCTTGTCTCCATCTGTCCTAGTGCTGAGACTAAGATTATGTGGAGATTACTTCCATGTGGCCTAAATACCTTCATGTTGCGATTCTTGAACACTGACTCTGTAGCAATGCTAATTAAAGTATGTCGTTGTTGTGTACATGATATAATGAAAAATTAGCCCAAAAAGGAAGGCAGTGCTTGAAAATTAAGAAATTGAATATGCTAATTCATGTATTATCTGTTAAACATTTGTTTGTCATGATTTTGAGGTGACAGCATGTTTTCACCATTGTATAGCTTGATTGGGGAGAGAATTTTAAGGAAAGGGAAGGAAACAGAGGTAATGTGCTGATATTCTGGAAAATCAGTTTCCTTTCCTTTTGGCCCACATGTGTGGCTTATTCTTACTGTTCTGCACTGTTTCTTAGAGCAGAAATCTAATTTTCTGTACATGGAAGTAAATTTTCTTCATTTAATTGTAATTAATGGGTACAGGAGCAAGTCATATAATGATTCTCTAAATATTATGGCACCACCACGCCCATCTTCACATGACTGGTTGACGTTATACTGACAGTTTGCTTAGTGGGGGGTGGAGTCCAACTGGGTCCACTCGGCACAGCGGCCACTGATTGGCCTATTGTAGCCTGCCCCAGGTGATTATGATGATGGACAATTCGGTGGAATGAAGATTGACAGGGGAAATAGAAGTACTCGGAGAAAACCTGCCCCAGCACCACTTTGTCCACCACAAATCCCACTTGACCAGACCTGGGTTTGAACCCAGGCCACTGCGATGGGATACTGACAGTTTAGTTATGTACTAAACTGTACTCGTTACAAAAGGACATATTAACACACATGAAACATGTAGCGGCACCTCACTGACAGTATGTTGAATATACTGAAGTGATGAACAACTGTGACAATGAAGGCAGTGTCAGAAATCTTTACACACAGGTTCAGTTCAGTTTAGTTTGCTTTCTTTTGAACCATTCTTTATTAGTATAAACTGTATTATACATTTCATTGGGGGTATACGGTAGCGTAATATGCTACAAGCCAGAAGGTCGCGGGTTCAAGTCCCGATGAGGTCATTGGATTTTTTTTCAATTGACCTAATCCTTCTGGCTGCACTAGGCCCTGGGGTTTACTCAGCCTCTAACAGAAATGATGACCGGGAATTAATTAAATAATTTTCCTGGGGAGTGAAGCGCGGCCGGTGCCATCTTTGAGCCGATTGTCAAGGTAATGTGGGACCCTTAACATCTCACAACCCTATGGGCCTTCACGGCCTGTTACAGGGATAGCTTTACTTTTTACACATTTAATTAGCAATGTTTGGCATGCATATCTTGAGTACAGTAGTAATATTCTTACATAATTCGAAGCACATTTGATCCTGTTTTTGTCTTATGTATCTCCACTGAAAGTGAAGACTTTTTCTATCGTTGAGTTTGTATAGCTAAATATCGTTTGTTTTTTCTTTGTGTTTTGTTTACTGACCCAAAACTTCAAGCTTCTTCCTGAGTTCAGTAATTTCAATATTCTCCCAGTTAACTGGCTTTATTTTGTCAAAGAACCTGAAACAAAAGTGGCTTTCAGTTTGGTAAAAATCACCTGTGTTCAAAAGATCTGGTCTAAGTTTTCTTTTTCAAAACCAATGAAACTGTTAAACATATTGTGTCCATCTGTATATATGAATTAGGAATAATGAACGTGACTTTTGATAATCTATTACTGGTAAAAAGATTTTCTTATCAGTCTTTCCAGTGGGAGGTATTGTCTTGGATCTATACCCGCTTCCTCATTTGATGATACATAACTCTAACAGATGGTACAATATTACTGAGGAACTTAAAAATACAGTAAAATTCCAAAGAAACCTCACATTTTGGAATAATAATTGTAGTAGTGTAGTCATCATGAGAAAATGTTGTACTACATAAGCTGGAACAATGATAACATAATTGACAAGTGTCAGATTCAAATTTTTGCAAGGGAGCTTCCTATTTTCACTGAAATTTCTCATTGTTTTGACCATCTCTGTGGTGTAGTGGTCAGAGTTCCTAGCTACAGATCCAGAGGTCCTGGGTTCTATTCCTGGCACTACCAGATTTTCTGAGAAGTGGTGGGTCTGGAACGGGGTCCACTCAGCCTTGTGAGGATAACTGAGGAGCTACTTAAATGGAAAAGTAGCAGTTGTGGTCTAGAACACTGAGTTTAACAGCCATAGTAATGCATTGCACTGACCACGCAACACCCTCACACACTGACTTTCTCAGTTCTTTCATGCAAATGTCAGATAAGTTTCTATAAAGTGTCCATGACTTGTTCCTCTGTATTTATCATTCATGGTTATTCACTCGTTTATTGATTACTACAAAAACCTTTATATCTGATACCATGTCATTAAATAACCAACTGATCAACTGGATAATTACAATTACTACATACTGTGTATTGATTTCCTGCAGCACTTGTTTCTGTAAGGCTGACAGTCCATTGTTTAAAATATCCAGGTTAGAGCGTAACACTTCTTGGCTGTTCATACCCACCAGGTGAGTGGCGATCCCTGGTTGAGCCATTGTGTAGTGTTGTGCCAGTTGAGCAAGCTCAACACCCCGCTCCTAGAAGGTTGCATTATATGAATGAGGAGTTCAGTATAGCAGCAGTTTCAGAAGTGTTACAAGGCCTGTGTTGTCACCTGCTGACGTCTGAATGATACCATTATTCCCTTAAAACTAACATCTGATTAATGTTTCACCCTGTTCATGCTAGAGGCTTTCAGGATTAGACTCTGGCATCATCCTTCAGAGCACCCTGTCGCTACATGCTTCCGAATGAAAAGCATGCATTTACTGCGTGAAGGCAATATGGTCATAGCACATTCACAATCCAGTCATAACATTCAGTACTGAAAAATACAAGATATGGATTTCAAGAAGCTATTCTGAAAATTTTTTCATGAAATGATGACAGAGAGACTAATTTTGGCAGATTCATGTACCAGCAGAATTGCTCATAATACTATTTGTAATGGGCAGATGTTGCAGTTGTCAGTGCACTGTGTTAGTGTACTGTCACACAACATTAATAATATCATTATATAAAGAGATTAAGCACAGAAACCCAGTAATGAACCCGAAACATCAAAGATGAACACAGTATGAGTAATGTCATGAAGACAGGTCCTCAGTATATGGTGAAGAGCAGGATGTTCAGTCCCTGTGAAATAACCAAACTCGTATTGTGCCACTTTGCTAATACAAGTAACAGTTGATTCACATCAGAAATTAAACAGATGGTTATAGATTTAGTTTGTCAGTTACAGGAATAAAAATGGATAAAGAGAAGACGGAATTAACCTGAGGTTCGTGTAGAAGAAATTAATGCAATAGGCCAGGATAGTGTTGTGAAGCAGCCATGATGAAGCCTTCCTGGCATGATGGCAGTTTGATATTTGTACGTGCAGCAAACCATTGTGAAGGGGTCATAAGTAGTACACCTTTCGTGTGGTTGGTGATGAACAGACACAATTTCATAGCGACAACTTCATGATTTTGAGGAACTGGTAATATAATCAGAACTTCTGTTAAGTATATGCCATCAAAAACATTGTTGAAACTTCTATTTATCATTTTCATCAGCTGGATTTGGAGGTAGCTCAAGGGACTGCTTGAAGTCCACTGAATAAGACACTTCTATTCATGGCCAAAGTCATAATGAAAAAGCAAAGTGCATATTATCTGTATGGGCTTCTTTAAAGCTATTTATATTTATCTCTGCTAATAGTTACTGCAGTAAATCAGTCTGCCATGCTACTCTTTATTACAGTGACAGTAATAATGTTAATAAAGCTATTAAGTTCAGAAGCTGTAAGCAGTGGCAAAGTCTCCAATATCAGCCATGTAATAGTGTAGAATTTGTAAATAATGACTACCAAATTATCATCTCAGGGTTTTAATTTTTAAATTGGTTTTAATTTATTAATAACTAAGTAACTTCATGGAGCTGAACTCTTCTTGAGAAGGTGCCAGTCATGCAGCTACTCGAGTACTTCCCAAAATTTAATATTCACTGAAGGTTCATTACTGTGTTCACAGGAACCCTGGTCACAATCCTGAGCCAGATAAATCCAGTCCATACCACCACATCCTATCTCTATAGGATCCATTTTAATATTATCCACCACCCATGTCTTGGTCTTCCTAGTGGTCTCTTTCCTTCTTGCTTTCCCACCGATGTCCTATATGCATTCCCCTTCGCCACCATTTGTGCTACATGCCCTGCCCATCTCATCCTCCTTGACTTGCTCATTCTAATCAGCATTGGATTGTAATATAGTAAATATTTAATTAAATATCAGGATTTAAATAGTATCTTCATCTACTTTTCAAACATTTATGGCATTTACTGATGGAGTATTTTGGTTTATGGTATAATATTCGACATTACCACAGTGATCAGGCAAAACTGCATTGCAGTGATATGTTGCCAAATGTTTCATCAGAGAAATTAAATTTTAAGTTCAATTTTGATTTTTTTTAAGTAACTAAGGTACTCTTTGGTGGCATAGCAAAGGCCAAGTCGCCGTGTCCACAGTGCATGTGGTGATGATATTGCCCTAAAACTATTCACTGACCACTTTTGCAAAGCAGGACACAAGTGAATGGTAGTGAATGGAATATTCATATCATCCTGTGTCATCACTGTATGACTCCCTGTGCTGCTCTACTGGGCTGTACCTGTTCTCACCTTGCAGTACTGTCCTGCAGCTGCACATGCTTCCTTGACGTGTTCTGGGGCTGGATGCCATGATGGGGGACCTGCATTTGACAGCAGACCCATGGAAACTCCAGCTGCATTGATTATGCCCAGTCCCTTTGACTGAAAAAGAGTGCCTTCAGAGTTAACATACCAAGCCAATCGTCAAGAAAGAAAATTATTCTGGGGTGTATCTGGCCTCCTGTCCAATTTCAGCAGCTGTATATGGTGAAGTTGACAAAAGAAGGGAATCAGTTGGGAAGAAGATTAACTGAGCCAGTGACACCTCATGTTTCGTATTCTTGTGTTAGTTTACATTCCATACTGTATCATGTAGTATCCTATTTGTGGGGGGCACACGGTAGCATAGTTGGTTGAGGCACTATGCTACAGGCTGTTAGGTCGTGGGATCAAATCCCGATGAGGTGGATTTTTTCAATTCGCCTAATCCTTCCAGCCACACTATGGCACTGGGGCTGATTCAGCCTCTAACAGAAATGAGTATCAGGAATATTCTTGGGGGTAAAGGGCAGCTGGTGCGTAAGGCTGACAACCTTACCGCCATCTATAAGCAGATTGTCTAGAAAATGTGGGAACCTCAACATCTCACGACCATATGGGCCTCCACGGCCTGTTATAGGGATATCTTTGCTTTTACTTTTTACGTTACTACCTCCCATAAAACTTATGAATCAAGTGACAGACTTTCATGAAAGTGGGTATAAATATCATGTCGTCAAAGACCAATCCACCTTTATAAATTTAACTTCCTGTCATCAGTAATAAAAACATAGTAAATGCATGAACTTATGACGCAGGAGTGACTATAGTACCACTTAATGTAAAATATAGAGTATTGAAACGTGATGTACGAGCAGTAATGAATGTTTGAAAATGTACAATTTGTTTGTTTTGGGTTTATGTGGATTTGTGCAAAGCAGCAATGTGGTAGCCACACTAAATCTTTGTTTAGCTTTCAGTCTGATGGCAGTAGCTAATTAATCATTGGAGCTGATGATGACCACATTGGTCAAAACATGTAGAGGCAAATTTTTAAAGTGAATAACTTTTAATGGATTTTATAGAACATAATGTTGGATGTGAGACTGTAAGAAACTATTCGACACTATATAGTTGTTAATTTAAAGTTTTTGCTAGCCCTGCCGTATACAGTGAAACCTGTAGCACTTTTGAATTTGTGTACTGGACTTGGCCAACTGATTGAACGTCCGGGAGGTTACTCCTGTTACTCCCTTTAGACGACTGACTCCTCCGGAGAGGCAGAAGTCTTGACAGTTCTGGGAACGCCCAGTTTCCTCTCCTCTGAAATTTTGCTGATTGTCTGAACCTAAAATTTGGGTGTTACTCTCATTGATATTCCACCAATCCTTAACAAGATCCATGTAAATTTGGACCTAAGTACAAGACGGTCCTTCTGACAGCTGTCAAATAAATGAAGGTACACTAACGACTGCTCGATACGCCCCTTCAAAAATTATTGCGACTCGTATCTGTCAAGTCTCAAATTTTCGAAGACTCGTACCGCCGAAGTTAAGCATTGAAATTCCCAGAAAACGCAGCGGGATACTTCCTGCTCCGTTCTGGGTTTTCAAGTGACCTGCAGCTCGCTTGTCCCTCAGAAAGACCAGATGTCGTCCTTGGCGCCTGCTGGTGCTGGGGTCAGTTGTTTTTTGATCTTTTGTTAATTGGTAATACAGTTCGTTTACTTGTAGTACATTATAATTAAGAATGTAAATCAACAACATTGCTGAGGTTCCTGCATGGTGCGGTTACAGTATGGTGCCTAATTAATTAAGCACAGGTACAACTTTACCTCCTTACCTTACTGGAATACTGTAGAACATACTTTTAAAAGTTTAACATGATTTTTGTGGTCATCAGTTCTAGTGATATGAACTGGATTGAACCACCTTGGGATAATGATCCAGTATCAGGCCATTTTGAGCCTGGCTGGTTCCATAACATATATTAGGTAATTCAGTGGGGACCAAGTCACCCCACCTGCCTCCTAGTGGCAATCCCTGGATGCAACAGGCTAGCCTGGCTTACCAAGGGTGGTGGTACTTTAAGTTAAAGCATGAAGTACTATGTCGAGGCCTGTGTAACACTGAGGAAGTAGTGCAGTGAGTGGTGCCCTTGGGATACAAGGCGATTTCCCACTGTATCTGGCCTTTCTTCAAGATGTGGGGCACTATGAAGGCTGACAGCATTTTTCTTGCAATAATTCTTAGAAGGGGCTCTTGTAGTGGTCCCTGAAGATTGTCAACAATGTTCTGCTTCCACTAGGGACTGGATGAGACATGCAGGGACCCCTGTAATGAGATCTAGGATGTTTCTGTCCATCATTGGATGGCATAGCTGCTGTGTCCCCTGCTGCCATAAAGCCTTCTGATAAAGTATCTAGGGACCTACTGACCTCAGATAGGAAACATCAGCTGGCAACAGAGTTGTTGATTGGACACTGTGCATTGAGATGGCCTTCTCGGAAAATCAACCATAGACTTTGTCAGTGCCCTACTTTGGCTGGGCATGGTGCATGATCAGAGTTGATGTCAGAACAGCTTCACTCAAAAGGGTTTTGGATCTAACATTACAGGCAAGGTAATTCGTAGAGCCTGTATAGTATTGAAACATCAGTTGACTTTCAAGGGACTACATGGTGTTATATCCCAGAAGGTAGAACCCTTCATAACCTCTGCTGTAAGAACCTTAGATCCCATTCTATATACTAATGTTAGGAAGTCAGATTGAAGTGGTGGATGGACTGGACAGTGTAGGACAAAACATACATAGAGTTTTTGTGAGTAAGTGTCTTAGAAAGTGGTCACTTAAAATAGGAGGTGAAAAAATAGTATTAGATGTGATGTTAGGACATAGGATGTGAACTGGTATGCATTGATATAAGCCTGTGTCCACTGATGTTCCCTGATTTTAATTAGCACTATTAGAATGAAAAGTTTGAACATCATTAATACAAAAATTCATCATCATACATGATCCTGAGCCAATTTAATCCAAGATCTTTTAAAAAAGTTTGTAAAACTATTTTATGGTGAAAAATTATTAATCCCTTATCCTACCCCCACATTGGAAGACAGCCCCATGACATCTATGATTGTGTATTCAGTATTATTTACAGCTGTCCACTTTATCTTGAGGCTGTCGTATCCATCCATCTGTGCTGAACATTCTGGATTTTGTTACGGTAGAAAGAGCTACTCACTTATTTAATAAGATAAAAATGAGATGTTGTTTGATTCCTAGGTTATTTAATGGTACTGTCTCATACCTTTCAATGAAATAGAAAGAAAATCATTAGTAGGTATTTGGAAGGAGACAGTTGTGACCTATCAAGGTACTATCATGTCATTTGCCCAGAGAAGCTAGGGAAAGCCACAGGAACCTACTGTCAGTATGGCTGTTAACCCAGTCACTGAGATGTAGATTTCCTGTGTCTCAGTGAAAGCTTTATTTTTCATTATTCATCAGACATTTCGTTTGGAGCTTTAGGTAGTCTTCTTTGTTCCTAATCAGACATTTCTTGTCATATCATAAAAATGTAACAAAGTTTGTTCCATTGACATACCTGGAAGAAAGGTAAGAATTTCTTAAGTGTGTCATCTATGAGTGTATCCCGAGTGTAGGAGAGAACTGTATCGATTTTAATGTTGCTGCACTCTACAGCCTCCTTGAGGACTGATACTGGATAACCAGTAACTCCAATGTAGCGTGCCTTGCCTGATTTCACCACAGACTGAAGCACTGGTAGCGTTTCATTCAGTACAATGTCCAAATTTGGTGCAAATTCAATGTCATGTACCTGAAAAATGAATGTTGTAGGTAACATGGGGATTTGTGAAGTTAGGCATAGCTATAGGGGAATACTCATCATTATGTGCCCCTTATAAGTGTGCTGTATTTATTACAGTGGAGGTGCTTCCTCAAAAATGATTACTTCCCTTGCCCTGTAAGCAATACATCTTTGAATAATTACATTCTTCTAGCGTTGAGCAGTTAATTTCAAACTTTAGGAATAAATTAAATGAAATCATTCTCTTGTTTGTACATTTCCTCAGTAACTTATAATTTCAGGTGAGTCGGCAGTTAAACTAAGGAGGTTATAATTCTGTACTGAAGCAGCCTGTTGCATTATAGTTGAAGTAGCACTGTTTCCACCCTTCACTGCAAAGTGCCTAGTGATCTGCTCGTATTTGATCACTTAACATCACTGTGCGTTTGTTGGCATCACTCAACATCTGAACAACAAGAAGGCACTATAATGGAAATAAAATCTAGAAATGTTGACTTTGGTGAACACTGCCACAAGCAAGTACAGTGTACCAGGTGGCATATTGCCACCTGATGATGTTTGCATGACCACCAAAACGTGTTTTACCAACTTAGTGCTAGCAAATGTACAGTGATAGTGTGAATGATTAAATAAAATCACATCACCAAAGTGTTGTATGGTGAAGGGCAGAAACACATTACTATTTAAGGAGGTTAATTTATTTTCGCGTATGATTTCCCCCTATCTCAAATTTAATTCTTTTTTCATTTTGAAATTGTTGGTCTCATTACAGCACAAGATTTTTTGGATGAAAGACAGATGACTCTTATGAGATTCAAAGATGGGGTGGGGGAATGTCATACAGAACTTTGGCTCAGAAATCTCATAACAGTAAATCATTTGTGAAGACTGGGCTATATAGTAGCTGAGAGTATAATATAAAAATGGATCTTAGAGAAATCGTTAAACATGTGAATTTAGTTTAAGTTGTGCACTGTAAGATATATTGGTGAGATTTTTAGGTAATAGAGATTATCTTTGAGGTTCTGTAACAACATGAAATTTGTTGAATTTTTTAATGTCTATTGACTACTCAAAAGAGTTGTATATTTGTATGCTAGAGTTTCAAATTGGATAAATGCTAAAACAATATAAAACTTTATAAAATTTTTTATAGTTTTAGTTGATTGAGGATATGGACTGACCTGTATGATGTCCACATAGTCAAGTCCAAGTAGCTTAAGGCTGTGGTCCACACTCCATAATGTCTTTTCTCTGCTGAAGTCGAACATCTTCGTGGGGTCTGTCTCATAGCGTCCAACTTTTGTACCAATGTAGTATGCATTACGAGGAATGTCTTTAAGTGCCTTTAACAATGAAATCATAGTTAAATGCTTCACACTTCACGAAGGGATATACAGACGAATTTCCATGGACATTTGTTCTGTATTATGATTTTTTTTTCTTCCTTACAGTGGTCTGAATTTTATATTACATCTTAAATGGACATAGTTAAATGGAATGGAAGTCAGTTGTTGCTTCAGACACTGAAAAAGCTGAATCAAGATCATTCAGTGTTATACTGCTTTCAGTATTTAAATTAAATATTTTAACAATTTTAAAATGTCCAGTTATCCCATTGCATTGTTACCTTGCCCAGAAGTTCCTCGGAGCGACCCTGTCCATACCATGGTGCTGTGTCAATATAGTTAATACCCTGCTTCAATGCCTGATGCACTGCTGATATTGCATCAGCCTCATCATACTCCCTGAAACATCATTCTGTGCTGTGAGGGCTGTTGTAAAGGGCATTAAGTCACAGTGACTCTTTAATTCCCTTGGATGCAGGCAGTGGCTTATTATGGAGTCAACTTATTTATATGTAGTTTCATGTATATAGGTAAATGTAGGCATGTAGGAGGAATTTTCTGTGATCTGGCAAAGGCTTTTGACTGTGTAAATCATGAAATTTTGTTAAGTAAGCTGCAATTTTATGGCATTCGAGGAACAGTGTTAAAATGGTTCAAATCCTATCTAACAAATAGAAAACAAAAGGTAGAGATAAAATCACCCAAATATACTCAAAATTTTTTCTCAAACTGGAGAACAGTAAAGCATGGAGTTCCCCAAGGATCTGTCCTGGGACCCTTGCTTTTCATAATATATATAAATGACCTTCCACCAACAATAAATTTTTCATCAGAACCCATAATATTTGCTGATGATACAAGTGTTATAATCTCTAGTAAAATGTTTGATGATTTCTGTGCAATATCAAACAGAGTACTCTCCCACATGAATAAATGGTTCAATGCTAACAGACTTGCCCTAAATTTAAACAAAACAAATGTAATGAAATTTACAACAAATAATGCCCCTCACTATGTTTTAAATATTGGATATAATGGAAAATATATAGAAGAGACAGTAAATACGAAATTCCTTGGCTTGCAAATTGATAGCCACCTAAGTTGGTCGAACCATATAGATAAATTGATCCCTAAGTTAAGTGGAGCGTGCTACGCAGTTAGAAGCATGTTTCATGTCAGCAATACTGAGACTCTCAAATTGATTTATTTTGCCTATTTTCATTCTGTAATGAAGTACGGAATAATTTTTTGGGGTAACTCATCTTACAGCCAGAAGATATTCATCTTACAAAAGAAAATTGTTAGAATAATGGCTGGTGTTAAACCAAGAGAATCATGTAAAAATATCTTCAAGAGGCTAGAGATCTTAACTCTCCCATGTGAATACATATTCTCCTTAATGATCTTCATTGTAAAAAACCAAGAATTTTTTCCAACCAATTCTACAATACACAATGTCAACACAAGGAATAAAAATCAGCTTCACAGACCAGTTGCCAGCCTCTCTTGTTTCCAGAAGAGTGCATATTATACTGGCATTAAAATCTTCAACAATCTACCACCAAATATCACAACTCTTATAGATAAACAGGGACAATTTAAAGTAGCACTAAAGAGATATTTAATTACACACTCCTTTTACTCTGTTGAGGAATTTATGCTTCCAAACAACATAAAGTGTATGTAATGTTTTCTCTTGTTTGGAACACAGGAAAAAAAAAATCTAGTATATGTTAATGTATGGATTTATGATGGATATTTTACTACTTTTGTGAAATCCTTACTATTTATGTGAACTTGAATTGTGCATGTATATATGTATTGTATGATTTTTGACTAATTCCACATCCGGTAGGTCATCTGGCTAGCTCATGGATCTATGGAATGCTATGTATGTATGTATGTAAATCTGAAGTAATGTTATTCCAGATAACTGCTGTTTCACGAATTGTTTATAACTCTTACATACAAAGTAAAACAATCTTCTGAAATTCAAAAGAATATTTTCCCCTCCCCAATATAGAGACCACCTGAGGTTGCATAGTGGTTACATTCTTTGTGGTCATTCAGGCCTTCAGAGCTTCAAATCTTGACTCAGACATAATTAGTAATTGGTGAGCCATTTGTGGGTTTGCTCAGTCTCTCAATGCAAATTCTGGGATAATATCTAAGGAAAATGGCAAAACGTTGCCCATATAGTGTTACTTTTGCTGGAATTACGTTTATGCCAAGTTTTATGAAAATCAGTTGACTCATAAAATGCAGCCTCATGCTGGCTTAAGATTTCAATCTCACTTTCCATGTAGACTGTTGAAGGTGGGCCTACGAGGAAACAAGAGTTAGCCTGAGCTGAGAACAAATTCTGAGCACTTCGAGGCTAGCTCGGGCTTACCCATATGTGTTCGGACCTCCAAGGGCACCCCCACCGAATGCCATGTGCGAAACCCGTAGCCTGGTATTGCCTAGGACGTTGTATCGCATTTTACGAACAGCTGCTTCATCATGGAAACCAGCTACAAATGTATCTGGCAAGGCCATCTGCAAAGAAAGCAGATCCGGTAGAAACCAACCAGTAGGGGTATGTGTAATCTTCCTTGAGCAGTTTAAGAAATTGACCCGCTTGGCTCACAAAAACCAATTACACTCTAAGCAAAGGGAACTGTGTTGGCTTTTTACCGACCCGTCGGTACAGCAAGGTAAAGGCAATTGGAGCGTAAAGCTGAATATTTATCTCTGTTGTATACTGAGGAAACAATGCATGGAGCTGTACCTTAAATGCTAAACACAAGAACTTTTATTTATACATCAACCTAGACAAGGATGACAACTTCATATTCTAGAGCCCCAAATGATAAGGGGGAGGGAAGGGGTCGGATGTTTATCGAGAGGGACACCCCTGTTGATAGCGGAGGTACGGTTGTTAACAAAACATGAAATATGCACGCTGAAAGTGGTGATACATGCCTTATGTACTCAAGCGTCACACATATCAATTTTTGTCTGATCTCAGAATGTGGGCCTGCTGAGTTGTATAACTTTTATCTGAAACATTAAATATCGACCAATACAAACAGATCACACTACAGTTATCATAATTATTATTATGTAACTATTGAAGAGTGATCTTGCATATGAAAGCAGATAGGCATTATAATGTGACATGTAGGCACATTGCCAAGTAACAGCTGTGCAAACAGGCGACAGTACAACAGTCATTGCTAGTAAACAGCTCTGTGGAGACCATTCCCCGGCAACGACGGAACATGCAATAATGAGAGAGGTTTTCTGTGGGGTCCGTGCCGGGACTGTATAACGATGACTAGGAGTCCGCAGTCCAGCGCCACCCGTATAGAGGCGGGGTCGAATACCTCCACCGTGGCCCTACGATCCGTAGAAGGCGATGAAAAAGGAGGTCTCAAATCTGAGACAGTAAAATATGGTCGCGAGTCCCAAGGGACTCGGACCCGAGAAAGACTGCTCTGGCAAGAACCAGCAGCATATACAAAAGACAGGCCCGTCCTCTCGTCAGAGAGGGCGCCCCAGAAGAACAAGACCGTAACTATCAAACAGTAATAATTATCTGGTCATGAGCCCTGGGATGGGGCTCGGCACCAAGACTTACTGACTGAGTGGCCGTCAGTCGCAATGTGACTTGGATTTCATAGCCCAGCGAGTCGTAGGAGTCTGCGAAAAGGGAACCCAATGCTTGGGGGTATATGTGGGCCACACTGTTCCCGGGAGATATGGGGACATGGCCCTCCAGGTTGGGGGTCTCAAAACTGAGACAGTAAAGTATGGTCTTGAGTATCGCGGGACTCTGACCCGAGAATGGCTGCGCTGGCGAGGACCAGCATCAATTGTGAACGGCAGACCGGTCTTCTCGTCTGAGGGCGCCCCACATTAACAACCTCGCAACTGTCTGACGAGTAAAAATTTGGTTTTGGGCCTCCGATGGAGGCTTGATACCAAGACAACTGACCGACTAACCGTCGGTCGTAACATAAATTTGACTTCAGTTGTCATTGAGTCACTTGTGAGAATGGAGAAGCTGGCAGCTGAGGTAGGGGACAGTTCGGGAACCCAGAGGAAGGGTTATAGTCCGCCGTTGGAAGCCGCTACCAAGCAACGGCTAGTGAAAACTGAAAGGACTATGTGTGTTATGGTTACAGTGATCTTTGGAGTATGTAACTCAGACTGTCGTATTTCTTTGTATTTACGACAAGAGTTCAGTAGATCCAACTGGCAATCCAAGCCCCGTGTATCGTCACTTATCACGTAGCAATATTATCAGTATTTCATAACACTGCAGATCATCATTAGTTATGCTGTCTTCTGATCTATTCATGACCTATCGTATTTGCAGCGGTAATTAATTTATGCACTTTGCATTTAATAAATCCCTCACCAGCAACTTACATGAAATAATGTTTATAACCAGTTGTTTACGTAACTGCATTTCAGAGCTGTTCTCGGAAGTATTTTTTCGACTTGGTAAATAGTCGTTAGGTATCTGGGTTTATATTTTCTAACAAATGGCAAACCTACTTGTGATTTGTAAGTTTATAATTGTTCCAATATAACATTTCATTACATTTATATGAGCTGCAAGCAATGCCAGTACTGAGTGGTGGCAAGAATAACGGGGAGACTCCATTTTGTCATGTTGGTTCTTAATGGCACGTAAAGAGTACATTGTGGATTAGGAAAATGAAGGTCGCGAGCCTTTAATCTCTGCATTTTCCTGATGGAACTAAATAGGTCATGAGTCCTTTATTTTTGCAATTACCTTATGAAACTAAAATACACTGAGTCATCTTTACGTTTCCCCGTTGGAACTAAAATAAATCCACAAAAATGTAATTCTGGACAGCCGACATCCTTGAACATGACAAAACATCACTAGCGCAAGCTAGGCTTACGAATATTATTTAAAATGTTCAGAAAAACAAATGTACCGGTAGAAAAAAATCGCATATTCCCGTGCATTATATACTTTGACACAGGCTGAAACGGAGTCCGAGAGTACCGGCAAAATGTTTTTAGAAAAAGAACGTAGCACATACTGTGCAGGGTTGCCAATAGAATTGTCACTAACAATACAGAATTGATTCTGATTAAGGATCTTTTTTTTTTCTTCCTCTTCGCTCCCACTTTGGAGCATAGGGCTGATTTATCATTTTTACAGACGGTAGGACTCCTTGGGGGAGTGATCAGCCCGTAGCAAGGCCTCTACCTCAATACAGGACAACATAAATACAGAATAAACGCATACACACACCAAACATCCATGCCTTGTGTTCGATTCGAACCCACGATCACGACTTCTGAGCGAGCGAAGACAGTATATGCCTTAGCCCGCTCGGCTACTGTGACCGGCAAGGAGCCTTAGTATCTGCAAATCTAATTATGACACGTCCTGCTTCGCGTGTGGAAGGTACCGCGTTCGATTCTTGGTCCGAAGGCCTGATTCATTACTGAAGCTTCAGATCGTCTTCCCCAGCTCTTCAAATCAGCCTCGTAACCTGTGTAACTGGGATAGCGTCGATATACAAACTAAGATACTTAGGTAGAATAAACGGCCTCCGTAGTTCCCACCTCATGACTCAAGGTACGCGGGTTCAAACCCGGAGGAGGTCGTGGAATTTTTAAGGGCGGAAAAATTCAGGGAACAAGTCCTCCGGGAGGGACTTTAAGCCGTGGGTCCCGTGTCGTAGATTTACGGCACGTAAAAGATCCTCATGTCTCTAGGAGACCTCTGAGCAAAATTAGGCAAAATGTTTCCCGCCCAAGTAGTTTCCAATGCCTCCGGTAGATGGGGAAGTTATCGGGTACCAATGCCAGTAGAGGGCCGACCTCGCTGGCAGAAAGGGGAGATAGCAGGCACCAGTATCGGTAGGGTATGGCGACAGTAGAAATTAAAGGGGGACGTACAATAGACTATTAGTCGCGGTGCAGGGGACACCCACCCCCTCTATCCTGAATAACTGAACTGAATAGGTAGAATAGGGTTAAAAATGAAGTAGAGACAGGAGCATTTCGCTGATAGTGCTTTTCTGAATAAGGCATGTGAACATGGCAGTGAGACGGTGTGTATATTTGGATCTAGAATGTGGAGCTACCAGGAGGCTGCAGAAAACTGCACAGTGAGGAGTTTCTAATGTGTTTCCTTTTCGAAATAACTTCAGGGTGGTTAGTTCAAGGATACTGAGATGGGCAAGTTATGTAACATGCACGAAAGATACCAGAAATGTAGGCTATTCCAAATTTTATCGTGAACGTGTGGAGAACTGGAGCATAGGATACGCAGGCCTAGATAAGAAAAACTCCGTGGTTTCAGTCCGCAAGCGAACCATACCGACCGAGCGACCGCAACCTGTCGGCGAAGTTAGTGCCAACTTCAGCGGATAGAGGGTGTCGCGTGGTCAGTGCAACGGATCCCCACGGCTGTTAATTTCGATTTTCTAGACCGGACCCGCTGTTTCCTGGAAATAGCAACTCACGAGGCTGAGTGGACTCCGTTCCAGACCCACTACTTCTCAGAAAATCTGGTAGCGCCAGGAATCGAACCCGAGACCTCAGGATCTGTAGCCAGGAACTCACCACTAGACCACAGAGGCGGTCGGCCTAGATGAGACAATAATACTAATATGGATCTAGGAGAAATCTGGTGTGATATGGAGTAGATTGAACTGGTTCAGGATAGGGGCCCTGGGGCTGCCTCTTCTGAACACGGTGAGTGCCTTTACAATTAGCTGAGCGTCAGTGATCCCTCAAGGTCTTTGCTCCATGGAGTCAAGTTGGAGACATCGCTGGTATGGTAAGAGAGAGAGAACACAACAAGTAATTTAGTCACATGTCTCCTGAAACCTATTTTCAACCCCGGTTGCTATTTTGTAGTAAGCGAAGGTTAGCCGGCAGGGGATCTGCTGATTCACTACACTGGCTCTGTATCCCCTCCACAGTGACGCGCTGAACACGCCCAGTCATGAAGCACAACCCAAAAGACCACAATCTGAACAGTCGCCGCCTTGAAAACCTGAAGACTTACGTGAAGTATACTTACGTTTCGTTGAGATAGTTCCAACTTGTCCACCACAGTTACTTAAACCGTCTGCTCGATAAGTACGGATCGTTAACAAATTTGGTAAACAACTTATCTTGGTCAGACCTTGTCTGCCATCTGGCGGCAGTAATTGTGCTACGTCACCATGTGTCAGGGCGTCCAAACTCTTGTCCCATATGTCACTTCTGAAGATACATTTATTAATCATACTATTTCTGGCTACGTATGATAAAATACAGCGTCCCCGCTGTCGTTCAGGTATTATAATCGTCTCTCTTTGTTCAGAATCATTTATACGCCGACATGCACTCCATGGGTACGATTTGTCATACGTACGCGCTGCGTTTAAGGAACAGCAATCACAGAAGCAGATATTGTCTAATAACTTTTAAGTCCATAAGTATCGGGTTGCCAGTTAAATTCAATTATTTTTTATTTCAATATTTGTCAATTTGTTTGCCATGACCGACTGAACGTGGATGGGAGACACTTAATTGTATTATATATGTGTCGAAGAAATGCTTACAATTTATAACTAAATCATTTGTGCTCGAAACCGGCAGGGAGTTTTAACCTACCTTATTTACTAGGCAGTACAGTAGCCAAATGTACGCCTGCGACTCGCTGTCCCTCTAACCATCAAATTGACGGGTTATCATGAAACTTAGCATGAATATTGCCACTGGAGGCAAACACAGATTCAAACTTATAAATGTCATTCAGTCAGGTAAATTGCCGCTGGTCCTCGCCAGCACACTCATTCTTGGTTCCGAGTCCCGCAAGACTCATGACCATATTCTTGTCTCACGACTCTGGGAGTCGTGCAGTTCCATCCTTGGAAATGTGAGATGGACCAAATATTTTTAGAAATAGAGATTATTGTCTTCTGGGATGTACCGCCGTGTAGTTTGATAGATTTTTAGTGACGTTCCGGAGAAACATTAGCACCTATCTGCCAAACTACACAACGTCACTCCCGAAGGCAGCCACACAACAGGGTGGACCTCAGATCTCGCATTTGTGAACGTTGTCGGTTATTTTAGTGTCATAATATTTTGCTACAGGCTGTATCAGTAAGACGTATTAGCATGGCATTAGTCACATCCGTGAGCTGGGTAACCTATTCCGTATAGTGACTAACTGCGGCCTGTATCACAGGAGAATCGGGATTCGAACCCAGGCGGGGGCCGTGATTTCTCTTTGCCACTGCTCCCACAATGGTTATGGGGCCTCCCGTCCAATGGCTACCATGGGATAAAGAAGAAAACTCCGTTGCTTTAGTCCACAAGCGAACTATACCGACCGAGCGACCGCCGTTTGTCTGCGAAGTCAGTGCCAACTTTAGCGGATAGAGTGTGTCGCCTGGTCAGCGCAACGAATCACCACGGCCGTTAATTTCGGTTTTCTAGACCGGAGCCGCTACTTCTCCATTCAAGTAGCTCCTCAGTTATCCTCACGAGGCTGAGTGGACCCCGTTCCAGATCCATTACTTCTCAGAAAATCTTGCAACGCCGGAAATCGAACCTGGGGCCTTTGGATCTGAACCCAGGAACTCAGACCACAAGCCCACAGAGGCGGTCCCATGGGATAAAGTATCGTAGTTGTCCATATATTGTGGAAGGTTAGGAAAGATTGGAGCTATACCTCCAGTCTCCTATGCAATATTTTTGCCACGTTGCTTGATAAATTAAGTACAGGACACGTTTTCCTTTTACATTTAGTCACATGAGATGGTTCCAACTTTATGCAAATTGAAGTACGGTGTAAATATGCCTGCAGAGTTCAGGCCTTCGGAACAACTTGTCCCGTAGTCCAGGCGTTCAGTACTGCGTTTACTGAGTTGAATAATGAGATGAAAAAAGTAAAGTTGTCCCTGCACTTAAATCAGTGCGCTAGCGGCCTCCGTAGTCTAGAGGTAACGTTCCCACCTCATGACTCGTGGTACGCCGGTTCAAACCCGGCGGAGGTCGTCGAATTTTTAATGGCCGTAAAATTCAGGGAACAAGTCCTCCGGGAGGGACTTTAAGCCGTGGTCCCGTGTCGTAGCTTTACGGCGCGTAAAAGAACCTCATATCTACAAAGGAGGTCACTGAGCCAAATTCAAGGACGTTTCCCGCCCAACAGTAGTCTCTAATGCCTCTGATAGATGGGGGAAGCATTATAGACACCACCAAGCCAGTGGAGGCCGAACTTGCTGGCTCGGCGGGACTGATGGTACGCACCAATAGCGGTAGGGTATAGAGACTGGTATAATATCATAGAGGGAAGTACAATGGACCAATACTGGTCTAAGTGCATGGGGAAACCCAACCTCTCCAATAACTAACTAACAAACTAATCAGTGCGCTGTAGAGGCGTATGGGGAAATGGAGGTAAATCCACATATTCTTAATATCAGTAGACCTTGTGGATGAATGTGAGTGGTCAGTTCCACAATACGGCGGCTTTATGCTCAGGAAGGGAGGCTGGATGGGCCCCACAGCTGCTCTGGGCTCCTTCCGAGAATAGATCCCCGTTCATCCAGGCAGTAGCCAGTCACCCCACTGAGTAAACTGTCTCGGCTCATTATGTATTATATATAAGACTGATTTTGAGTCCAGGTGTTATTTCTTTAGAACTGTACGGGCCACTGTTGCTCTATATCATGTATGCATATTTTAGAGTTTTTAACTGTCCCGAAAATTTTTAAGATATTTCATATGTAACCCATTTTTTTATATTGCTAGTGGGGTGGGACTGAGTCCCTTGTACTGCGGCCACTTCTGTCCTATTGTACCAGCCTCAGATGATAGGTGAGGGTGATTGTGGAGCAATTGGTGGAATGAAGATTGGCAAGGGAACCGAAGTACTCGGAGAAAACCTGTCCCAGCGCCACTTTGTCCACCACAAATCCCACTTGACCAGACTCCAAGATCGAACCCGGGCCGCCGCAGTGGGAAGCCAGCGACTAACCGCTTGAGCTCTGGCGCGGCCCTATGTAAGCCCATATTAAATACTGAATTATGGGTTCAATTTTATGGTTGGATGGATAGTTTATTGATTATTTAACTGCACTCTGTATTATTTATGTAATTCGGCATTTCCGTAGGCCTAAAGCATGCTTATTCATTACGTATAATCAATCGATGTGTTACTGTTTTAAACGTCATTTTCGCTTTGATTTCGAACTGCTGAAATGCGATCTCTGTCATAGACGAATGACTCCAGTTGCTGCTCGTACTGGCGGGGACTGTACGTAACCCGAGCGCTGGTCCGGTTAGCATCTCCGTTATGCCTGTCGCTCAGTTCGCGTCTATAGCTCGCTGTGGACCCACGTGAAGTTGTGTGTGGTGTTGTGTGGCGGCTGAACACGTGCAACATGTGGACACAGGTGGGTGATGAGTGTATGTGGAGTCACGAGAGGGCTTTGACACGTTTCGTGGCTACAGAAAGCGGGGTAACAAGACGAGAATGCATGTGAATAAACAGTTATGAATGAAGTTGTATTTTGATATTTTGTGTAGGATTGAATGTGCGGAGGATTTCAGCACTCCATAGGATAGGGTAATATTACATTAAATGAGTGTAGAGGTTTCAGGCTGAAGTGGTAATTAGGGTTCGTAATAATCATAACGCCGGTCACGGTAGCCGAGCTGTCTAAGGCATGTACTGTCTTCGCTCGCTTGGAAACCGGGATCGTGGGTTCGAATCCTACTCAGGGCATGACTGTTTAGTTTGTGTGTGTGCGTTTTTCTGTGTGTTGTGTACAGGTAGAGGCCTTGCGACGAGCTGATCACCCGCCCAAGGAGTCCTACCAAATGTGTAAGATCTAGAAAAACCGAAGTGAACGGAGGAGTTCTTGGGGGTAGGCCTAGGCCCACTGGGGCTGTAGTGCCAAGGGCATGCTTGTCAGATGATCAAAATTACACAAAGCACATGGAAAGGGCACGAAATTACGTGTCGGTATCAGAGATCCAAATAATTACGAGTCATCATTCGCTGTGGTTGAGAACAGTATCGGAACAGAATTAGGAACATTGAGGACTCTTCATAATGCCCAGCCAAACAATTTTAAATTTCACGTTCCGTTTTATAATTTGGATACAAAATGTGTCTCTTCAAAATGCCTTTGAGCGTTCACGTCAGATTTTGTGTATTACATGTAAAACTAAAGAGTATATTCGCCCACTTCATTATTATTATTATTATTATTATTGGGAAGGTCGCGGGTTCAAGTCCCGATGAGGTCATTGGATTTTTTCCAGTTGACCTAATCCTTCCAGCCGCACCAGACCCTGTAGTTTACTCAGCCTCTAACAGAAATGAGTACCAGGAATTAATGAAATAATTTTCCTGGGGAGTAAAGCGCGGCCGGCGCGTACGGCTGACAACGTTACCGCCATCTTTGAGCCAGTTCTCTAGATAATGTGGGACCCTCAACGTCTCACAACCCTATGGGCCTTCACGGCCTGGTACGGGGATAACTTTACTTTTTACTTAATTGTTGGTGTTGTTGGATCTTAGAGAGGTAAAATGGGGTGGTATGGATTGGATTGATCTGGCTGAGGATAGAGACCAGTGGAGGGCTCTTGTGAACACGGTAATGAACCTTCGGGTTCCATAAAATGCTGGAAAGTTCTTGAGTAGCAGCTCAATTGGCAGCTTGTCAAGAAGACCTCGGATCCGTGAGTGAGTGAGTATTGTTATTATTTACCCTACTTTTTTTTTATTCGCATAGTGGGGGGAGGAGTCCAGCTAGGTCCACTCGGCACGGCGGCCACTGTTTGGCCTGTTGTACCTGCCTAGGTGAATATGATGATGGAGAATTTGGTGGAATGAAGATTGGCAAGGGAAACCGAAGTACTCGGAGAAAACCTGTCCCAGCTCCACTCTGTCGACCACAAATCCCACTTTACCAGACCCAGGCCGCCGCGGTGGGAAGCCAGCGACTAACCGTTTGAGCTATATGGCGGCCATTACCCTACGTTATGTTTGGTAATACTTGGCAAGCAATATCAGAACAGGGTGTTGAGGAGAATATTTGGACCTGAGAGGGATGAAGTGACAGGAAATTGGAGAAAACTGCATAATGAAGAGCTTCATAACTTGTACTCGTCTCCAGGTATAATTAGAATAATCAAGTCAAGGTGGAAGAGGTGAGCGGGGCATATAGCACGAATGGGGTAGACGAGGAATGCGTATAGGATATTGGTGGGAAAGCCAGAAGGAAAGAGACCACTGGAAAGACCAAGGAGTAGGTGGGTGGACAATATTAAAATGGATCTTAGAGAGATAGGATGAGATGGTATGGATTGGATTGATTGGCTCAGGATAGGGACCAGTGGAGGGCTCTTGTGAACACGGTAATGAACCTTCGAGTTCTGTAAAATGCTGGGAAATTCTTGAGTAGCTGCAGAATTGGCCGCTCCTCAAGAAGGGCTCAGCTCCATGAGTGAGTATGAGTATTAATGTGTTACACTTATTACAAATGGAAATATCCATACTTGAAGCATGTTTGGTATTACCGTAGCCACAGCGTCCCTTATGCGGGCTTTCAGGTGTTGAAGCTGAATTAAGACGCATAAGATGAATACTCTTTAACAAGTTTTAGTGTATACAAATTTTATTACAGTTGACGAAGAATGTACATTTTAATAATTTTATGAAAGACACACGATGGCAAGCAATGCAATAGCTTAGCGTAAATAAAGCACCTGAGGATGGCACTATGCAGCCGAAATATGTAGTAAGAAGCGACATATGAAATTGAGTGCTCTACAAGACGGCCATTACATACGTATCATGGGTGTTGAAGCTCGTCCATCTTAACCTGGTAGACAATGTTCTTTACATAAACCCACAAGGAAAAATGCACTGGGGTTAAATCTGGCGACCAAGGAGGCCAAGCGATTGGTCCACCTCTGCCAATTCATATCCCAGCCATCTCCCTGTCCAGGCGATTCCTAACATGTTGGCAGAAATGTGGCGGCGCATGCGCGTACGCCGAGCGTGAAGACAAAAAAATCTTTCAGAGTTTTCCTTTTTCCGATGACATAAACCGGATACGTGTATGACAATTACTTTCCGAGATATATAGTTTATATTTTGGATAGCTTTCATTCGGACACTATATAGATGAAACAAGAAACATATACAGAGTTGCCATTTGGAGGATCAAGTGAACTGAAGGGAACTGACTCTGGTGCAGAGTGCTGGGGAGAATTCAGATAGTGTCCAATGTCGGAGTTTTGTATTAGCAGTGTTGAATAGTCGGTTTATAAGAACAGAATTGAGTTAAAATTGTATGATGGTGCTTGATTCTAGTGCGTAGACCAATAATAACAATAATGTGGCATGTAGAGAGCAATTGATAGGCAACGTCCGCGAAATAAGCAGCTATACAATTGCCGATGGTAGGCAGTAGCTCTATAAACAACGGCCGTTGCTAGATAATGGCCGCAACAGATACGCACGCAACAATAGAAGAACTTTTGGGAGAGATGTTTTCATGCGGTCCATGTCGAGGCTATATAACGACAAGCAGCTGCGGTTGCGAGAGAGTCTTCAGACGGCAGTGAGAAGAGTAGGAGGTCTGCGTGAGATAGGCGCCAGTCTGACAGTGAGTTGTGAGACAGTCGCCGGTCAGTATGGACGTGAACACGGTAGCTGAGGAATCTACGGCATTGGAAGCCGTTACCAGGCGACAACTGGTGAAGACATAGGAGATTGAGAAGACTTAGTGTGTGCTCTAGTGAACTGCAGTGTGTGCGAACTAGCGATAGACCTGTAGTTACTTATAGTTACGATCTATGTGTTGAATCCATTTACCAATCCACACCCCGTCTATAGTTACACTCTATAAAATCGTGATGATGATGATGATGATAATAATAATAATAGTGATGTGGTACAACTCAATACTATGCTGAAAACTTGAAATACTACAGGAGTTAACAGTATATTTTTATTGCTAATGGGGTGGGACTAACAGTTTATTTTTATTGCTAGTGGGGTGGAACTAAGTCCCTTGTCCTGCGGCCACTTCTGGCCTATTGTACCAGCCCCAGATGATAGGTGAGGGTGATTGTGGAGCAATTGGTGGAATGAAGATTGGCACGGGAAACCGAAGTACTCGGAGAAAACCTGCCCCAGCGCCACTTTGTCCACCACAAATCCCACTTGATCAGACCCCGGGATCGAACCCGGGCTGCCGCGGTGGGAAGCCAGCGACTAACCGCCTGAGGTATGGTGTGGCCGAGTTAACAGTTACTCTTTATTTGGGCCGCGCCATAGCTTTTGTGGGTTTCCTCAGTTATTCCAAGTATCTCAAAGTACATCAAAACTCGGCACGGCCTGGGCTACTGAGCAAACCATGAATGAGCAACATTTAATGAAGACTCCCCACAACAAATGTTCTTGCATTCATTTTGAGTAGTTTTCACGTAGGCCAGTAACATGCACGTAGATAAACACGATCTGCGAGTAAGTTGCCTCGAGCTGTGACATTTCTGACTCATAGTCGGAGGTGCAAGGTATCTCGGCCGCAACACCCACTGTCCTGACTGAGTTTCTTAGTTGTTTTCCTCAGTACCTCCAGGCAAATGCTGGAGTTGTACCTGAGATCAGGCCACAACCACTTCCTTCCACATTCTTTCCAATTCATCTGACGCATACTCATAATCTGAGTTCCTGACGGCGTCCTTAAGTGGAGCATGATAAGATAAGATAATGAAGAGATCAGTCTGCTGGGATGTGGCGCCGTGTAGATATTGTGTCAACCGACGTTTCGGAGGAACTTATCGCCTCCATCTTCAGGGTAGAAGAAAAAAGAAGAAAATCTACAAGCAAAGAACCTGTGTGAGCAGGTGCAAATAGACTGTCTTTTTTCTTCTACCCTGAAAATGCAGGCGATAAGTTCCTCCGAAACGTCGGTTAACACAATATCTACACGGCGCCACATCCCAGCAGACTGATCTCTTCATAGTCACCGTCGCGGAAACCTCAAATCTCACACAGATAAGATAAAGTTTGTTGTGTTTCGTGGCAATGCATACATGTATGTCCACATAACACCCTCTTCATGTGGTACACAGGTTCTTAACACACATAACCACTTTTTTGCGTCAGATCAACTTAACTGCTATTGCTGCTTCTGTTAGTACCAGCACTACTGCACCAGTCCTATTTCTGCTATTTTTTTTTCTCTTGCCTGACTCCATTTTCTTATTTTATGTTTCTATTTACCGGTAACATGACGTGGGAAATGTGCCTCTCTAACTTTGAATAAACCATAAGTAAATAAAGAAATGTGCTTTAGTTTCGTCAATGTTGTGCAACAGAATCATGTGGATATTAATATTTTGTAAGTATTCTTGATCTTTTAATCTCTAT